ATGCCTCAAATCAATGAGAGCATGAGCGAGTTAATGAAAACGCTTCCAACAAGTTCATTTTGAGAACATTAAAAGGTAAAATACAAATACCGTTAATCAATAAATAACAAGTGAAGCGAAAAAACGATGAATGAATAAAAAACTAACACAACAAATTGTTTACTACATTTATCCCTCATTTCAAACAATGAGCAAAATTTAACAAACGTGCCAATTTAGCGAAAAAAATTGAAGAGTGTCATATGATGTTGTTAATAAGAAATACGATCTCAATGTCAACTGATCGTCACTTGGTAACTAGACTTTACTCACAAACAAACTGAGGCCGACTTTTTTTGCTTATAAGCGCTACTCAATTATATTTTGTAATTACAGACACTGGCAATTACAAAATTTAAAATGAAGTTTGTGCAAGAAAAACAGTGAACAAATACTGTACAATGTAGAAGTAATTTTTGTTCACATTAGCCCTGACACAATTGATCAGCTATTTTGTCATAATTTAACTTTTTAAAGAATAGCAGCAGTACAGAAAAAGTCAAGTAAATTAACAGCGGAAAGATTAGAGTGGACAAGAAATGGTATGATTTATGTAAGACATGCACAGTACAAAGATAAATGCTCATTCAGGCAATAAATTGCGGTCAGTTGATATAGCGGAGAGAGAAGGGCTATGCTGCCAACTGTTCTAGTAGAAAGAAAAAAAGCAGACAAGGCTTAAAAAGACAATTTTTTGCCGTTTTTTCTCCTCGACAAATGAAAAAAAGCATGACATGTGTTCGTGCTCTGTCAAACTCCTTGTACAAAAAAATAAAACAGCAAGAAATGAGAAAAAGAAACGCCGGTGCGATCTCAGAGATTACAGAGAGTTTTCCTGATCAGTTGAAGGAGGGTAAGAAAAAAAGAGTGAAAGTGAGAGTGAGATGTAATCAATTCAGTGCAAGAGGATAAACGGCGAGGTGGCACGTCCTCAGCAAAAGGGTGCTAGTGAAAGAGAATGAGTGAGACTCGTTAGTAAATAAGTTGAGCAAACATACAAATTCACACAAACCCAGACACAGACACTGATCATCATCATCATTGCGTGAATTTGTTCCGATGGAAAACGGGGGCCAGTGCAGTGAAGGACAAAAGACGTCTGGGTGTCCGGGTGACAGGCATTCAACCAGTCCCTACGCAAGCAAGCAAGTGTATGCAGTAAGCAGCAGTTAATCAAATCGACATGTAAATCGACTGTCTGTTTGCAGGCACTGATCGAACACAAACCAAGTGAAGGGCTCACACCACCACTCAGCGTGGATCCACACCAGAGTTGCATCTATCGAAAACGTGCCGCTTGATTTGATATCGACACCACCAGCAGCAGCAGTATTGCGCCACAACACAGCACACACACACACACATTTTGTCTTGAGCCCCCTTCGTATATTGAATTTGTTTTCATCATCTCCTTCAAAGCCCCCTTCTTCAATAACATAACGCACTGCTGTCTTATGCAAATAGATATTAAAAGTGAGAAATAGCAAAAAAGCTTTTCTCTTGAGCTGCTTGTTCATCTATTTGTTGTGCTTTGTTTTTTGTTTTTTTGTGTACAGGACTAAGCTTAGCACGGCTTTTGTCGTTTGTGTGATATTTTGTAGTAGAGTCTGCTTAACAATAGGAGAGCCCCAATGAGAGAGCACACAACTTGGTAGGAATGACCGAAGAAGGAAAGAGAGAACGGAAGATGCATTGTGAAACTGTCCGGCACGACTGCCGGTGCAATCAACTTTAATTACCGGCTCTGACTGATGGTCAAAAATAGAAAAGCGTAGGCGAAACACACTGTACAACAATGGTGGGATGCTGTTTTAGTGAGAAAGAAAAAGAACAAGTGCAACAACTGTCACACATCCTCTGAAGGCTAGTACGAGAAGCTGAAAAAGCACCGGATGAACAAAGTGGTATTAAAAGCCGTGTCTTGAAGGCTAATTTAAACAAAGAGAAAGGTCAGACGTCATTCGGTGCAAAGATGATTGCTAATTTGGTAAGATGATAGATAGGAGAGGTTTTTTGGTTTTAAAAACACTCTACTAGTACAACTGCCATTTGAGCATTTTTGCCTTAACCGAAAACGTCACTGCTATCAATTAGTTAGTTAGGTCATTGATATATTCAGAAGTAGTAGTAAATCTAAAACTAATTGACGTTCACCAGATTAAGCAAACAGACGCTGTATAGTGTACGAAACTTGTCCGAGACAGTAGCTAGCCCGCAGACACTGACGGTAGCACATCACAATTGCAAATAAACGATGCCAGTATTGATCATGTGCAAATGAAGCCATTTTGACGACAGCCTAGCCCGAAAAAAAAGCAAATGCATATAAATGAGCTGCAAATGATTTCCAAATAGAGAGACTACTGTGATCAATCAACGTAAATTTGCGTTTTTTAGCGTAAAAAAAAATCTCAAAGTTAAAAATTCATGACAGTTGAAAACAAATGTTGTAGTAATTTATTTTAATAACTGTAACAGCGGAAAATTGCATGAACACTTTGGTTTAATAAACATTTTGGTACATTACTTAAACTAAAGTATCACTAAAGTATTTAGCAAAAACAAATAAACAAAATTAATTTAGCCATTAACGCATAAAAACGTTAATTACTGCATTGCTGTGTGATGTGAGCTTTAATTAAGCCTGTGTTCAATGTCAATGTCATTTCAAGCAAAAATACTTTACATGCTTGAATTGTGTGTACTTCACCAGCCTAGAAAAAAGTCAAGGACCTCAAACACTGCGCAAATAAATAACTAAAAAAGTTTTTATTTATTTTCCGAGTCTATGTAAATTATTTTAGGGTATTTTTTTGCAAGTAAAGAAAGTTTTAGCGTCAAAGTTGTCAGAAGCTACATTTAAAACATTATCATTTGTCGTGCCATAGTATTTTATGATACACAAAAAATGATGAAAAAACTAAATATTATCAAACTGAATTGTACATAAAATAAACGGATAAGTTTGTTAATAGAAGCTTAATCAGCATTAGTCATATTTTTAGCCAACAAACAAAAGTAATCTTTTTCTATTGCAAATTCATCCGGTAATTAAGTCAACTTGTCGTTTGAAGCAAACAGCTTACAATTCAAAAATTTTTAAATTTAAAATTTAAATTGAGTTGTTTTATTTAAATCCTAAAACCAAAGCAATGTATGTGATTATAAAATAATACATAATGTAATTCAAAAATTTTTGAATTATGCGCTCAATTTTACTAGATTTTTAATGCAATTTGAAATATTTAAAGCTTAAAAGTTACAAAAATACATTTATTTTCTTTTGAATTGAAAGGAAATTGCCTACACAGCAGAGATGAAAGAAATTCTCAAAGACATCCTCGACTACTTTTCGTCTGCCTTGAATTTACAAAAGTGAATAAATTGAAATGTACCGATTAGAAAGCTTCGGCTGGCTTTTACTGGCATCATGTCTGAGAATGTTTCCAAGTGAAATGGTGCAACAAAGTGGCTACATGTACTGAATGAATGCACTTGACGCCATTGTGAGACATTGTCACTCACAGAACGCTTCCTTTTACGCTTTGTCAAATTAACTTGGTGGTTTTAAGTGAAACATAAGCGGGAGGGGGCAAACAAAACAATAAAAGAAGGGGAAATATAAATGACCAACGTGCTAAACGACAAAACACCAGCGACCACAAACCTGCACTCAGAGAGTTGTACTTTCTTAATTCCAGTACAGTCTCATTTTGCTCCATCATTAACAACACAGGCTACTGACTGCAATTAAGTAAATGTAATCTAAACGGCAAAAAAGTTCTTCTAAGAACACTATTTCACCAAACGGAAACGACTAAGAGTGCATATCATTTAACAAAACAAAAAACTAGAAGAAACGGATATTTGTCTAGGCCAATAAACATCTAATTGGAAAACGTAGAAACAACAGCTAAATCTAGCAAAAAAATTAAAAAAAATTAACGAATTGGAAGTACTAAAGTCAACACTGCTTAAAACAAAAAAACAAAAAATGAATTAAAAGATTCTTAACAAGTTTATACACTTAAAAACTTTAGAAACAAGCCTTTTAAAAGTTAATAAAAATTTCAGCAGTTAGTTTCAGTCTAAATTACTATATAAAATATTCTGCCAAAAACTATAAATAAATCAAGAAATGTTTTGATAAGAAAAAAGTTGTTCTCAAAGAAATTAAGTGTTTTTAAATTGACTTTGAGTTTCGGTGCGTATTCTCAGCGGATTATTACCAGTGCAAGCGTACTGCGTTAGTACCCAATTGCGTACTTTAATTGCTCTGATCCAGGCAGTCAGTAATATTGCAACAGTAGCACTAAAACTGCCTGGCAAAAAACACGACTTAGGTTTAAAGATTTTGCCATTTAGTGGTTAACACCAAAATGTGTTGACAACATGTACTGCTGAGAAACATCAGCAAAATTGAGCAATAATGTTGTCCAGGGTTCAGGAGTAGTGAACAACAACAAAGTGCAGAAGATTTAGCAGTGAGTGTGCATGCACGAGCGCACATTGGGTGGCATGTTCGGCCAATCTGGCCATGTTCGCAGTGTTACCTGTAAAGCCATGTGACGACAATATCTAAATTTATATTTTGCTCACACTGTAACAAACATGCCATTTTACTGATAACGAAAAATGACGCACAAAAAGTTTTGCCAATTAAAATGAATCTTCTTTTTGCAAGATATAAAATAATAGTTGCAATGAAAAAAACATTTGCCAGAAACAAAAATTCTCAATGAGATAAAATGAATTAATGCGCCTAAAGGTGCGAAAATGTGTTCTGATATTTGTAATATCGGAACGTCTGTGCGCTGACGACTCGACCCCGAATTTTCGGCTCTTGTTAGAACAAATGTTGAGCAAATGCAGAAAGTAGCAGAAAGAACATGAAACAAAAAAGAACGCTCATTTAAAGATTGTCAATATAAAGCAGCACTCAAGCAGCACCGCTTACTTACCGTAAGTGTTTACTGAATAAGAGGCCAGAAAACCGACATCGTAGTTGCTGGTTGTTGTGTAGAGCTTCACTAGCAGTCTACTTGATTGGCTGCGAATTGGCGCTGGTGTATCCTAGACAAAGAAAAGAAGACGATTGATATATTAGAGTAATCACGATGTACAAATTAGCGAGAAAAAAATGTTCCCCCCCCCCTCCACTTACAGAGTTGCAGAATGTGGCCAGCTTTCGGTCCTCCACGTCCTCGTCGCCATCGTAAACCACCACATAGTTGGCATCACAGCTCGCCGACAGCTGAAAGAAGCTAAACTTCAGCGTCAGCGAGTGGTAACCATTGGAGTCCAGGCGCCAGGCGCAAACACGCTCCTCCGTGAGCGGATTCGGGTAGAGCGGACTGCTGAAGACGCCGGACAGTCCGGTCAGGTTGCCACCACAGCCAGGAGGGCCGGCGGCCCGAGGCGAGGACAGGTAGTTGAAGGAGTACTGAACTCGATTGAGAGTGTACGCCGGCTTGGAGTAGTCAGGGTCGGGCAGGGACATGTAGCTGGAGCGAATGACCAGCGTCAGGTTGTTCGAGGTGGAGAAGAAGGGGCTGGGCGGCGTCCTCATGTTGCAGTAGATGGCCTTGGCCAGCGAGGAGTTGCCCTCGAAGATGGTGAAGTTCGAGTAGTGGCAGTGGTAGAAGGAAAAGGCCGAGAAGTAGAGCGCAATCTGGTGGCCCGGCGGCACGACAACCCGAATGGTGCAGCTGCTGGTGCGGTGAATGTAATCGGCATTAGGCCAGTAGCGATTGTAGGCGTAGCCGCTGTCCATGCCGTCCAGCGTCTCATTGCACAGCGTCGAGTGGTAGGTCATTCGAAAGCCTCGGTACTGGCTCTTCAGCCTTCCATCAGCCAGTTGGCTGTTGGCAAACACCTGGTTGTCATAGCTGATGCTCTGTCTGGCCGCCGCCGTGGTGTCGGCGCGAAAGGTGAGACTAATCTGCTCGGTGGTGATAATCTTCACCGGGCTGGCGGAGGTGCACAGCGTGATCGCCTTGCCAACCACTCGGTCATAGCCGTAGTTTCGCTTCTCCACCAGCTGCACGTAGTCGCCGCGGCTGCAGTTCAGGTCTAGCTCCGTGAAGATCAGCACCACCGGCTTCTTGTAGTACGCCGAACTGGTGCCCAGCGTCCAGGTGCACTGCTGCGGGGTGCTGTAGCCACCGGAGGGGTAGCCCGGTGAGGTGAGCTCCTTTTTGTCGTCTTCGGCGTAGAGGAACCCTGTAATTAATTGGTTATTGAATGTATTCTTTTCTTTTTGAGAAATCCTTACCGCCACAAGTCTGATTCAGAGCCGAGTACCTCAGTCTGAAGCCATGTCCCGTGACATTGTTGTCATTGCTGACAAAGTGCAGCAGCAGCGACTCGCCCGACGACTGCAGCTTCTCCGGCACAATGCCCGAGCCGCAAAGCCGGGCGAGCAGCGGCGCGTGCATCGTCGTCCCGTCAAGCACATCGAGCCAGTCATTGTCGCAGCGGGCTGTGCTATCGTTTGTGCCCGCCTCCACGTCGAAGCGCTCAAACTCCAGCTGGAGAATGCTGGTCGCAGAGTCGCCGCCCTTCACCGACCACAGGCAGCTCAGGTTGGGCTCGTAGTTGGAGTCGCCGTCCACGTCCGGCGAGGTGATCACGCCCACCTCCTGGCCACCGTCCCGCGATGGTCCACCACTACCAGCAGAGAGCACCACCGTTCCGCCGCAGCCTGCCTTTGGCCCGGGCGTCGACCAGTAGACCAGTCGGAAGGAGGCCGCCTTGTCCGCCGCCTCCAGCACCCCCTGCCGAAAGACAATCGACAGGTCGTTGCCCGACGACTTGAAGGTCAGGTCCTGGTGGTCATCGGCGCACAGGTAGCCCAGCTGACTGGTGTGCTGGTAGTTGAGGTAGGCGCTGTCGTACACCTTCAGGTAGTTGCAGCACTCCGAACGGCAGTGCTCATTCGCCAGCTCCAGCGCGATGATGCGCACCGCCACGGAGTTGCCCACCTCGGGCGCTGTTATCCGCCAGACGCAGGTCTTGTAGCCAAAGTTGGGCGGAATTTCCGGCCCCACGATGGTGCCGCCCCCTGAGGATGAGCCGCCGCCGGCGGTGATGTTGCCGCCGCAACTGGTCACCGCGTAGCTAAACTTGAAACCGCGCTTGTTGAAGTAGTAGTCGCTCTTGAACTGCACCTCAAGCGCGCCCAGGGCAGACACTGCCGGCGGAAGGGAGTTCCCGCAGAAGGGCCCACTACGCGGCGTGCTCTTGTTCTGATGAGAGCCCCCCGAGTAGATGAAGACTCGGTCAAAGATGCAGCTGGAGTGGTACTCCAGGTCAAAGTCCTCAAAGGTGACGCTGATGTACTCGTGCGGTGCGCGCTCGATTCGATAGAGACAGGACAGCTGATTGCTGTAGGCACCCTCGTTGTAGCGAGGACTGGTAATGGTGCCCTTCTCCTCCTGAAAGAGTCCACCGCAAGCCTGCTTGAACTGAACAGAGAAACCGTCGCCGACCACCTTCTCATTGGTGCGAAATGTGACTCGAATGACGTTCGTCGAGGAGATAATCTGACCTGGCGTCTTGTGGCCGCACAGTCGTTTCAGCACCTTCCATTTTTCTACTTCACGATCGCCTTCAACAAACTCCAGCTGTTTCTCTTCAAAGAGAAGAAAGTCATTCGAGCAGTTGGCCGACTCTTCCAGGTCAAAACGAGCGTTAAAGTTGAACTCCAGATGAAAGTCGGGCAGGCTTCGTATCTCCCAAACACACTCAATGTTCGAGGAGTACTGTCGACTGGTGCTGAAGGTGTCACTGGCGTTGGCGTAGTTGGGCGACTGAATGAAGCTTCCCGCGGCGGGGTTCATTCCGGCGAGCATCACCCCGCCACAGCCATGCTGAGCCCGCTCTAGGCGAAACTTGAACTTCTTCAATGAGCCACTACTACTAGTTGACGATGATTGAGATGAACTGCCACCAGAAAGCGAGAGATTTCCACTGCTAACAAAGGACAGCAGTAGGTCGTGACCGACGTATATTGGCTTCGGAAGTCCGTCTCTCCGGCAGAACTTTTCACGAGAGTGCTGCTCGTATCGCGGTTTTAGAATCTGCAACAAAAATAAAATTAAAAAATTTTACTTTTTCGAGTATTCTTTACTCACAAAAAAGTAATCTTCATCGCAGTTTTCTCCAATGTCAAACTCAGTGAAAATTAAGCGGTATCCATTAAAGTTTGAGCCCTCCATTGCCCCTTCGCTGATGCGGAAATACCTGCAAAACAAAACAAATCTAATGAAAACATTTAGTCACACAAGCTACTAAATATCATACCAATTGCAGAAAACTTCAGCTCCTAAATCGCTTGGATAGTTTGGCGACGTGAATTCTCCTACAAAGTCGGTAAAAAATCCACCACAATTTTTGGTGATAAAGTACTCTCCTCGAAGACCTCTTGATATGCCGACGTCAGTACGGTTGAAGGATAAGAGAATGATCGGATTGGCATTCTCAGAACGTGAGTACACTGGCATGATGTATTTCACTTTAGTTGTTTGTGGGGCAATTTCCTTGGTAATACAGTTGAAACTTGAAAACTGATAATGTGGATCGCCTGTTGATAACATTTGTTAAAAAAAATGAATGAAACAGCAACTCAATGTAATCAAACCTGTAACGGTAGTTGTAGTGATGGAGGTGTTGCTACAGTCCCCAGCCACATCAAAAGTATCAATAACCAGCGTCGCTGACTGATTACTGCCGGCCTGTGAGGTTGTAAAAAAGTAAGTTTAGCGTTACAACAAACCCACTAACCTTTATTTCCCAAGCACAGCCAATTAGTCCAGTGTAATTGAGATTGTCAAAGTTGGCAGAGATCACCTGACCATGCGGAAGGTCTAGTAGGCCACTGCAGGATTCTATTAAAAAAACAAAAACATCTTAAGTTAGATTTAAACAATCCGAAACGTACCATTCGAAGGAACCATTTCATATCTTATATTAAACCCTTCTCGGGGTTTGAGTTCTGAAGCGAAAAAGTACAGCTCCATCATGTTTGACAGAGAAGTAAAGTCAGGCGGAACTTCATTTGAGCAACCATAAGTCTGCGCCATGTTTCGCTTCATGTACAAATTGCCGCTTATCTAAAATGAAATTGGTTACTTGTAAGAGCCAAGTCATAAAAACAACGCCAACTAAGGTACCTGCAAACGCTTCTGACACCTAAAGATTGAGATGTTCACATTGGGCCAGGTTCGGCCCAGGTTGAAGCGTGCAAATGAAAGCCTGAACACCGTTCCGGGCTCGCCGATTAACTTGTATGAGCAGTAGAGTCGGCGAGATATTCCGCCTGGATAGCCTGGAGAGCGAAGCGTTCCCTTTGGTAAAAGTGAACCCAAAACGGTTTGACCGCATCCTGCACGACAACAACAACAAAGTATAAATTAGTAATAGGTTTTAGCACATTTTCAGTGCTCATATCTACTTCGGTATTTTGCTTCCACAGCCAGGGTGACTCCCACATTCTTCTTCTGCAGTGCACCACTGTTATCGGTGGCATTTGGTCGGTAGTTTTTCCGCTGAAAGGAGATGAAGAGCTCATTCTGAAAGGAGTTCAGCGTGGGGATCACATTGCTGCTGGTGCTGTTGTGCGGTGCACAGCGACGCTCGAAGGAGTACTTGGCAGTGGGAGAGTCTCGAAACTCGATGACGTCGCCTGAAGAGCAGTCACTGCCTTGAAGGTTAATGGAGGTGATATTGGCGACAATGTAGTAACTGGGATGAGTGCGAAGGTGCAGGGAGCACTGAAAGTTGGGCCCCACCAGAGCCTTGCCGGCAAAGGGCAGCTGCAGCTTGTCAGCTGGTCCGCTGAAAACATTCAAAACAAAACAAAACAAAATACGGAAAGTAAACAAACACAGTAGAGGACAAGTTACCTGACAAAAAACTCTCGATTGCAGTTATCTGGCCTTACGGTGGCGTTAAACTTGGAACGAAAATCGCGGCTTTTAAGAACGTATCGCAGCAGCGTGATGTGACTGTTGATCACCACCGAGTCCTGGCGGTAGGTGGGCATGCAGAAGCGGTCAATGAGGCTGGACAGCTCAGTGCCTCCTGAGTAGACCTCCAAGAAGGTGTTGTTCTTATCACAGGGGGAGTACTGCTCATTGCTGAAGGAGAGCAGCAGACCGGAGGTAATGGGGCCGCGGATGATGTAGTCGCATACTAGGTCGCCATGTTCAGGACTGGCCGGGTAGCCTGGAGAGGAGACCACCACCGAGTCGGTCATTGAGTGAATCACCAGCTCACCACCGCATTCAATGCCAATCTCCTTGTATGCAAGGCGGAAACTCTGCAACAAAGGTGATCAGAGGATAAAAATGAGGATGTGAAGTAAATTGGAATACAGTACATTTTGTTTAGAAGTAGACTTGTAGGTGATATGAGCGACGTTGCTTGAGGTCTCTGGAAGGACAAAACCGGTACTGTTGCCGCCACAAAGTCGCTCCACAAGCAGTGGTGAGTCGTCCGAGTGACCCTAGTGGAAAAAAGGGTAAAATGATCAATTCAGAGCAAATCCAAAGCGTGGCACTTTGCTTACATTTCTAATCTCCAGATAACCTTGAGAGAAGGCGCATTTAGGTGAAGCATATCCAATGGTGTAGTACTCCAAAAACACCTGAATAGTTCTTCCAGGGCGGACTTTTACGAGCCATGAGCACTGCACGTTATCCTCCTGACTGTAGCCATCCTTCGCATCTTCAGAGCTGATGATGCCGTTTGGATCGGTAAAATTACCTGAATAAAAACAATCTTAGCAAATCTAGCAAAAGTTATACAAAACGTCCATTTTTTACCTCCACAAACCGGAAAAACGGTCAAATTGAAGCGCGGATAGTAGCTTCCCGATTCGGTGATCTGCGAATACTGCAGGTGAATCCTAATCATATTGGTGCCTGCCAGCTCCACCTGCTTTGAAAAACCATTGCACAGCGTCTTCCACGTCCTCCAGCCGGTGCTGCCCCAAGCACTGACTGTTATTTTATTAATCCAACAAGAGGTGGCCGGGTGAAAGGAGATGAGCGCGGAGGAGAGGTTAAAGTGCATCGAGTTGGCCGTCGTGAGGAACCAGTTGATGTCGCTTCCGTACTGGCTGTAGTTGCCGTCCACCAGATTCACCGACTGGCCCTTCTCGAGGAAGAAGTTGAAGGTGGAGTTGACGTCGGAGGGGATGCCGTCGACGTGCTCGTCAAAGGCGGCCAGCGCCGACCGGTTGATGGCCGTCCAGGTAAGGTGGAACTTGCTGGGCAGGTGGTAGAAGAAGGCGGCGGTGTAGACCAGCGTGACGGCGTTGTTGTCCGAGACAAAGGGCGGCGGCAGACGGGAGGAGCAGTAAGAGATCTTCGGCGTAGGCATCGCCACCAGGTGACTGCTGCTCATGACGTTGCTGCTGAGCGAGGCAGGGTCGACCTGGCCAAAGTTGACCAGACCGTTGTAGAGGGAGATCTTGATGGAGCAGAGGCCGGAGCTGATTTCGTCGCCATTCAGCTGCACCTCGTCAAAATGCAGCTTGACGTACTGCGCCGGCGGAACCATCACCTGGTAGGTGAAGGTTCGGTTGAAGAAGTGAAAGGCGTTTGGGTATCCTTTGGGGAAAGGTGACAACAGAATTAGTAATATACTTTGAAATCTTTTAGCAGAATTATACCTGGAGATGAAATCTGCCCCGTCTCTCCGCTGAGAACAACATTGGAGGCCAGCTTAAAGTGCAGCATAAAGCCTTTAGCAACGTTTGCCTCGTCAGTTCTAAACTTGATCCAAACGTCGCCGGAGAAGGCCGTATCTAAACTGGGCAGATTGTTTTTCTCTTTTCCACAGAGGCGGCGATCGCCAATCAGCGGCCCACTGGAGTTGCCCTGGCGAATTTCCACGTAGTCGCCATTGCAGTAGTCACTCTCCTCCAGTTCAAAGTCATCAAAGGCAAGCTCATATCTGTTGCCGGGAGACGCCTTCAGCACCCAAATGCACTCAATCAGTGAGGTGTAGCTGTTCGGGTAGCCCTAGAAAAAGGTTAAAAAAGGTAAATTAGAATTAGAAACATTTTAGAAAAACTCAAACTTCCTCTTACCGGATTAGTAATGTAGCCCTCGATGACGAAAAAGTCCCCACCACAGAAGGACTTTGAGGAGGAGACCAGCGCCCGGAAAACGGTGAAGAAGGAAACAAGAAGCAGCGAATCACCACTGGAGATGATCGGCGGCGGAATGGCGTCAGAGCAGAAGTGGTGCAACCGCTTCATGGGCACTCGCTCCGTGGAGTCGTAAAACTCCAGGTAGTTCACGGAACAGCCATTCGAGGCCCGTGGATGATAGGCGGCGAGAATGTTAAAGGACTGCAGGTGAGTCAGGCGAACTGTCACCTGGTCGCGGGGATTCTTTGCCTTCAGCACAAAGTGACAGTGGTCGTCCATTGAGCCGACGTGGGGAAAGTTCGGTGAGCTGACCACCTGAGGGTCCTCCTGGTCGCTGATTTGCAGCACCTTTCCACAGACTGATCGGTAGGTGATGTTCCAGCCGTGGCCAGCAGTCACTCCGTCAGCTTTGAAGCGAATGAAAAGGACGCTGTTGGTGCTGTTGAAAACGTTGGTAGTCTGCTCTGCAAAGTTGCTGTTGCAAACTCGCGTCATCAGGCGGCCCTCTTCTTCGGAGGAAGAGTCGTAGATGGCCAGGTAGGAGCTGCAATTTGGATCTTGTGAAGGAATGTCAATGTCACTGATGGCGATCTCGTAGATGAAGTGTCCCTCATTGTCCAAAACAAAGCTGCAATCGGATGAAGGATCGTAGGTGTTTCCTCGACCGTAGTTGGGCGAAGTCAAAGCACCATTCATTGTTGTAAACTTTCCGCCACAGCCTGAATTTTCCGTCGTAAAAGAAGCGGTAAACCCTTTGCCTAAAAAATAAAAAAGTTAAAGTTAGCATTAAGGGGGGACACCGCGCACTTTTTTACTGCTTTTTCAAATTTTG